GGATCCCTACTGGCATAGGAAGGGAAAGGGGGAGGCTTTCCACTCTCACATAGAATTACAGTCTCAGGGGCAGTTACACCCTGCCCGATAGGCTCGATCTGAATCGGAATTGATTCAATGGCAGTGAGTTTGTTTGTGCAACTGGTCCCCTGGTCATCTGTTCCCATAAAGATTGGACAATTTGTGCCAGAGGGTAACTATGATCTACAGCAAGTCGATGTCACCAACCACAGTCAGCAGCATGTGATGTGTACTAACCTTGCAACTCCTCTTTATTCAGCACTTAAGGGGCATCTTCTTAATGTTTTCTTCTGGGTCAGAGCTAGGGATCAAGCAATAAATAGAGGCTTCAAGATCAATGCCTCACATGTCTAAGGTTTCCCAGTGTAAGAGGAGCACTTTTCACTGCATTTTATTTTTCAAATAGCTGTGCCTTATGTTAAGTAGCTTTTCCTATATTCTTCTGACCACTCTGTTAGACCTAGCAACCCTCTGGAGTACGTGGTTCTTTACAGAAGCATCAATGGGTCCATTTTTGGAAGCAGATCACCAGACCTTTTCCCTCAAGGTGGCTCTAAGGCCAGTGGTTCTCAACCTTCCTAATGTCACCACCCTTTAAGACAGTTCCTCATGTTGTGGGACCCCCGACCATCACAGTATTTTCATTGCTACTTCATCACTGTCATTTTGCTTCTGCTATGAATCGGGTGACCCTGTGCAAGGGTCATTCAACCCCGAAAGGGATCATGACCCACAGGTTGAGAACTGCTGCTCTAAGGGAACTGAACTTATAATCTTTTGGTTAGTGGTCCAGAGCCCCGGTGGTGATGTGGATTACAATTTGGGCTGCTAACTACAAGGTCAGCAGTTCAAATCCACTAGCTGCTCTGTGGGAGAAAGATGAGCTTTCTCCATCATAAAGATTTACAGTCTCAGAACGCACAGGAACCTCCTACTCTGCTGTAGGGCAGTCGCCACTAACACGGGTTGGGATTATCTTGATAGCATTAAAATGGTTAGCATCTCAACAGTTAATGGTACATGTTAACCATTCATATCTCTCCAGGAACTCCAAACCGAAGTTATTTGTGCTTGAGTAGAATGTGTTTACTTACAAGCTGACTTAAATTTCAGGTAACTTAAGGAAATGTAATAGTGGTTTGCTCTCCCTGGAACTTTGGGCCTGATTTCCAGAAGTAGCATTGGATGGGGCTAAGCCAGCAGAGAGATGATGAGTTAGGTTGACTTTAAATTTCATTTAGTGGTTTAGAGAATGCTTTTGAAGACCCATGATTTTCTCTCTCCCTAGTCTCTCACCTCCTATTATGAGCCAGGTTAGTCATCACTTAATTTTATTTATTAACAGATGTGATATTAAAATCTTCAGATAAATGATAATAGACAAACAAAAAACCCAAACTCACTGCCATTGAGTTGCTATTGTGACGATGGTAGTTACATAATTTCGTGTCAACTTAATAAAATGTACACGGTGGATTTCAGCCTGCCAGTCAGGGAGCAGCTTGATGGCCTCATTTGGAGGCATGGCTGAGATAAATGGCTCGCTGGAGCCGGCCCCCTTCTCTCCCTGCCTTCGCCTCCCTGTGGTCAGGTCACTTGGGGGCCTGTGAGAGCCCTGGAGATGCATCCACCGCCATTGGAGCCACAGGACTTTATACCCACAGGTCTGTGATCTTCCTGCATCATCACATGGGGTTTTGTGAATCTGAGAGGGGTTAATGGACTAGACTTGGACTTAGGGACTGGTATCATACTGATGGACTTGAGTTGGACTGGGCTGGGATGTTTTCCTCTTCTACAATTATTTTTTGATACAGCGCTCTTTACAAATGTGTTCCTGGATTTTTTCTTTAGTCAACCCAGCCTAACACAGTGACCCATAGCAACCAGATAGGAGAGGGTAGAACTGACCCTGGGAGTTTTTGAGACTGTCACTCTATGGGAGGAGTAGAAAGTCCCATCTTCCCCATGGAGCAACTGGAGGTTTCGAACTTTGGACCTTATTAGCAGTCCAGTTTTTAACCCCGATGCCACCAGGGCGTCTCATATAAACAACAGATACCATTAATTCAGTGCTCTTGTTGTGGGGCTTTGGTTGCTAAACACTTTACCTAATTCTTTTGTATCATCCTTTCCTCTATCCAGGACTACCTGGAGAAATGAAGCTGAGAAATTTGAGGACTTGCTGAGGCTCAGTTTAGAGATTAAACTTATTCCCTCACTCGGGGAGGTGTGACTAAAGCAATATTATTCTTCCTTGTTTAAAAACATTTTTTTTTTAAAGATTGTTGAACACATTCAAGTAGGACATACACCGATTCTTCAATTTCTGCTTGTTAATTTGTTGACACTGATTTCATTCTTCAATTCATGCAACTGTTTTCACCCTCCTTTTCTGCACTGTTTCCCCTGACTCTGCACCCCCACCAGCCTCCTAGCTGAGCCTTCTAGCTGCTGTTGCCTGTTTGATCCTAGGTGGACAGTTCTCTAAAAGAGCACAAGACTCCAGGTGGAGCTACAGTCCGAGTTCCGGCATCAGACCGGCACTACTACCCCGGTTTGTAAGAGCAATTGGAATGGATTTCCAGGCCTTGACTGTTTGGTAGGAGCCACCAACACGAGTCCAGATCTGTGTGGCGCTGCATATCATGCTGCTCGGTGGCCAAAGCATCAGAGTGGGAGAAAAAGATGTAGGATCCCACTCCAGCTCATAAAACACTTAGTTCTTTGAGTACTGGTTGGCCCTCAGGGAACCGTTTGGGAAAAATAATTGATCCCTTCAAAGTCTTGGTTTCTCCTTCTGTAAAATGAGAAAACCCTAGCCATCCTACCTGACTCTCAGGTCTGCTCTAAGAACCCAGTCCAATAGCAAACATGCTTCGAAAGCTAATAAACCATTCTGTACATAGTGGGTGACACGATTTATAAAGTATTACCTATCAAGTTTCCTATAGATTTTGATTCTCTGTATGGATTATTTTCATTTGTGGTCCCTTGTACCCTCGAGTGCTGGGTCCTGGTGCTACTGTGGAGGAAGAGTTGGACCGCTAACTGCAAGGTCAGCAGTTCACATGAACCAGCCTCTCCTTGGATGAAAGACAAGGCTGTCTACTCCTATAAAGATTTCCAGTCATGCAAACCCTAGGCAGGGTTGCTGTGAGTCACAAGGGATGTTAGTGGGTGGGTGCCTTATACTAGTGAGAGTTAGAAAATGAAGCCCCCTTTTCTGTCTCTCACAGAGATGCAGCCCTGGTGGGAAGCATCAGGCATCCTTCTGGGATCCTCAGTAGAAGCGAGCTATGGGAACTACCTAGAAAGGCCCTAAGGAGCCCATGAAATAATTAACTAGCTAGGTTTTTAACGGATGTGCTATTGATAGTTCATGTGATGGAAAATTTCCTTTGGCTGTAGGAGGGAAACCAACCAAGGGTCTAGAGTGCCCCACCCCTTTCCCAAACATGCTCCCCATGGGCTGTCAATGGGAGACTCAGCATGGAGGGAGGGACACAGCGGTCCTGGTCCTGAAGAAGAGCATAAGGGACACTTGTCTGCTGTCTCCTCTTCTCCAGCAGCGCTTTTCCCACCATGCCTTCCTCGGAGCACCAGGAGGAGGACTCCTTTCTTGGAACTGTTACGTTAGCAGTAATGCCAGTCCTCGTTTGATTGGCAGTTTCTTTTTCCTGATGTGGTTGAACAGCAGAGAATACCAAGTCGATCAGGAATTTAAAAAGAGATTAAGAGGCTTATGAGTAGAAATTGCATTGGTGGCTGCAATTACTCTGATAAAATTGCAAGTCTTATCAGTCTACCTTTGGAAAACCATCTGACCTACCAACTGCTTTCAGAAAAACCACCTCTCCTAGTCCAGTGATCAGTGATTAAAATTATTCCTGACACTGGTGAACCAAGGCACCCAGGCAGTTACATGCTTCGAGACAGAGAACTCGTTGTCCAGAGACCTCAGAAGAGTCTTTGCAAACACACAGAAGGGATTTAGAACAATTTGCATAAATCTCCCTTTGGATCGAGACGTGGCTCCAGTGTTGGGGTGGTTCCAGGAACCCCTCCTTGGCTGTATCACGAGGTGACGCTGGACTTGGTGAGCATTCAGCCTCATGACAGTTTTTGCCAGTAGGATTGGGTGATGTGCTGTTGAATAAGCCCACTGTTTGGTACTACATAAGGGCCCCTTTGTGTTGGCTTGGGGCAGCCATGTTCAAGTTTGTCTTGCCTTTACCCCAATGATGTTTTTGGACTTTGTGGCCTGGAGAATTAAGCGCAACACCTATTCTGAGCGAATCTCTCAAATTTTGATGTTCAAGGGTTAACCGCAGCTCCTGGTGTCTCTAGAATGTGAAGAATAATAGTCATACCTCAGGTGACTTTTGATTTATTGAATTAAAAGTTAGAGGAGGTGGAGGAAGGGGGAGAGGGGCCTAGGCATGCCCTGGTAACAAGGTATGTTCATAGTGAACCTGTGCTAAGTATTTCTCTTCTGCTTGATAAATGTGATTTCCCTACTTCACCAATTAAAATATCAATGTTTGTTTGTGTATTGCATAGATACAAGATGTTCTCTTGCATAGTTAATAAGCAAGCTATACTTCAATATTTAATATTCCCCTGTAAAAGGACAGGGGTCACTCTGGAGTGGATTAAAATATGCCAAGTAGTCACAGATCTGTTTCAACTTCTCTTCCCTTTTTCTGCTGCCTTTTTGGTTTAATGGCTTACATGAAACACTAGATATTAGGAGCCTTAACTACCAGGATCTGGTACAGAATATTATCATTCTAGAAGCCACATAAAGAGTCTAATTTAAAATCCAGGGAATAGCTTATGCACTGGGGAAATTTGGTGCTTTAAGTACAAAAATGAAATCCACTAATTTCTAACCTGGAGTTTATTTTCTTTCAGTCTGCTAGTTTGATTTCTCAGCTTTGTTCTAATAATATAAACATCTTTATGTTTATTTATAGGTGGCTTTAACCAAGAGGGCAGATCCAGCTGAGCTAAGAACAATATTTTTGAAGGTCAGTATAAAGGAATCTATTTTGTTTCTTGTTTCATTTGTGCCCTGTAACTTTCAAAGATTATTTTCAGAGACCTCTTTATTTCATTGTTGAATTTGTCTCGCATGGTGTCAGACGTTGGGGAGCCGCGGTTGAGAGGTAGTCTTGCAGCCCATTGACCTTTTCAGGGTTGACCTGTGCAATTGGATGATAGTGCTTTTCTCCTAAGAAGTGTAAGCTCCCTGGAAACATCCCAGTAATGCTCTATTCCAGAGAAGACTATCCTTGGCTCTTCTTGGGCGAAGCCTGCTGTTGTCATAATCACCACTGACATTTTATTGCCACCTTGGTGCCCTGTGAGGAGGGTCAATATGCATACTGGATCAGCATTGGACTGCTAAGTGCAAGGTCCGCAGTTCAAATGGCAGCTCTTGTATGGTAGAAATATGGGGCTGACTGCCCCTGTAAAGATGTACAGCCTTGGAAGCCCTCTATTGGGTTTGACTCGCTGGCCGTGGTTTTGGGTTATATCACAGCAGAGACCATGCATATATATTTCCTTGGATTCTTATTCATTGGTCTCCTTGGTGCGTTTATTGGGCAATCGGTGGTTAATATAGTGTAAGTCTCCCCTGGATGGTGCTTGGGCTAGGCATTATACTGCTAGTCAAAGCGCTGGTGGTTTAGACTCACCCAGATGTGCCTACTCTGTGGGACAAGTCTGGCTACCTGCTTCTATAAGGTTGGAATTTTCAAAACCCAGTGGAGACTTGTACTCTGTACACTTGGGGTCAGTAGGATTTGGAATCAACTCAATAGCAAATGACAATGATGTCTTATTCAACTGGAGTTCCAGAACTGGGGGAGAAAAACTCACCTCTGTCGGGATAAGAAAAAAGAAATACGTGGGTCTTTCCTGCACATTATGCAAAGGTAACTTTGCTCTATGGAAAGAGAACCAAGGCTTCAAATGTAATGCTCTACTGCAGAGTAGTGAATGTATGCCTTAGGAAGTTACTCCTTCTCTAAGCCTCAGTTTACTTTTCAAAACCAAGGAAGGGAATGGAGATATACAGGAATTTGAACTCTAAAGGATATTTGATATTAAGGAATCATCATTTGGTTTTTCTCTTACTGTAATACTATTTTGATTATAGGGATTTTTACTTTTGAGATTTATACCTATAATATTTATAAATGAAATTATGATGTCTGGAATTTGCTTTTCCAGTTGATGGGGAGTTTGGGGAAACTAAGTGGGCGTGCAGTGATTATTTTTGAAAATGTTAAGTAGGAAAGATGGGTTTATTCTACTGGTTTCTGGGCTTTTGTGTGTATTTGAACATTTTCTATTTAATTTTTTTTGTATTTGAACATTTTCATAACAAAAAATTATTATAAAGTTATACTCAAGGAAATAATATATGAAAATGCTGAGTACTTGGACTGCATTAGGCGTTGATTCCGTAAACATTTGATATTAAATAAATAAATAGGGGCAGTTTTAGGAGTAGGATTAAAGTATAAGGTTTTAAAGATGTTTGAATTATGTATATTGAAACAGGATCCTTTATAATTTTTAAGCCCAGAAGAGAGTGTATATATAAATTTTAAGTTTCAAAGGTGTGCCTGACCCAAACCATGGTATTTTTAATCACCTCATATGCATGTGCAAGTTGGACATTGAATAAGTTAAGACCAAAGAAGAATCGGTGCCTTTGAATTATGGGGTTGGTAAATAATAGACATCGAACAGTGTAAGACATCGAAAAATAATAATGATTTATAAATTATCAAGGGTTCGTGAGAGGGAGGATGGAGGAGGGAGGGGGAAAATGAGCTGACACTAAGGGCTCACGTCGAAAGCAAATGTTTTGAGAATGATGATGGTGACCAACGTACAAATGTGCTTGACACAATGGATGGATGGATGGATTGTGATGAGTTGTATGAGCTCCCAATAAAATGATTTATAAAATTTTTTAAAAAGTATCATGGGACCAGCAGAAGAACAAACAAATCTGTCTCAGAAGAAGTCTGGCCAGAATGAGGCAATGAGGGTGGGATGTAGTCTCACGGACTTTGAACATGTTGGCAGGAGAGACCCGTCTCTGGAGAAGGACGTCATGCGTAGTCACGTAGAAGGACAGTGGGAAAGACGAAGGCCCTTGACGAGATGAATTGATACAGTGGCCGCAACCCTGGGCTCACACCTAAAAATAACTGTGCGGACGGTTCAAACCCCCCCGGCGGTGTTTGGTCTGTTGGACACGGGGTCCCCATGATTGGGAGTTGACTCCAGGCTTCTAACCGCAACAAGGTAGAAAAGGATTCTGGTTAACGAGGATCCAGAAAGCGAAGTATTTGTTTCTCACCCGTGTTTCTTGTTGCTATGGTGGTTGAAAATGAGGCATGTATATGCAAACTGAAGTTCTTAATACGTACATTTAAGACCTGTTGATACTATCATACTATGATGTTACAATTCTGGCAGAATGCTTTCAGAAGAGCATCTAAGTGGGCTGCCGAAGAACCTAGAAAAATAGATAACACTCGTTAAAGTCATGATCATTCTCAGAACCCAGGACCTATCTGTTACTTCAGTTTCCTAAGCAAGCAAGAGCTGTGGGCACCCTTCTGACAGGAACTGGGAACCCTCAGAGATGCAGCTCTGATGCCCGCTAGTCAGTTGGTATGAGCCTTTGGAAAGGCTCCAAGTAAAGACTGTGCCACCTTTTGAGACTGTGTGGCAGCTGCCAGGTTAAGATCTCACTTTGGAACAATGAGTCATTGCTCAGGGTTGCATCCTGGTCTTTACTGAGGACAGATCTAACTGGCCACACAGACACAGGAAGGGTTGTGTTGCTGATCTGAAGTTTGAGGATGGAGTCTGTGGAACCACAAACCACTGGGATGGTTGGGCGGACTTGCCTGGCTTTTGAGGGAGAGTTCTATAGGACTTGGAGTCAGAGGGGCTGAGAACAGGGATCAGCAGTTTCTGAAGGGATTGAGGATCTGCCAATGGTACTGGTGATCTCACCAGGCCTGGTTAGTGTGGTACCAACACAAATCCTCCCTGGCTCAGCCCCTGAGGATCCCTTGTTTACCGTCTACCACGAAGAAGTTGAGATGAAGGGAAGAATGGGGAATGAGGCACCACCGTGGAGGCTGGGCCAGGTGCGCCTCTGTCCTGGCAGGACTGTTACCCTGGGTCAGCGCTCTGACTAGTCTACTTTGCTGATTTTCTGTATGCATTTTTCCTGATACGATTTTCTCCCTAATGAAAATGCCAGGTGAAATACCCAACCTTCTCTTACTAAATTGGTAGGAGAGGGAGCGGTCTGCAGCATGGGACATGTGGAGAGCGTTAGATGTTGTCTCCACAGCAGATGTGTGGTCAGGTCTGCTCTGACAGAGAGAGAGCGAGCCAGGACAACAGAAATGGGGCTTCTGATAGTTTGCAAAGAGTTAAGATCAGTTGCACTTTTAAAAAACAATTTGCATACCATATATCATATAATTTTAGGTATTGGAGATAAAAAGATGCAAACATTGTAGCTTCTTCCCATAAAATACCGTGTGTGTGTGTGTGTAAAAATAAAGGCCATACTATGGGAATGCCACTGCTCATTTTTCCAGGATAGTGAGCCCTGTCCTATGAGACTTGTGTGCTCTCTAGTCTACAAGCTTGATCTTGCCCTCTTATCCTTCTTTTTTTGTATTCTTTTGTTCCTCAAATTCAAATAACATTTGAAATGAGCACAGTTTGAGTTCTTCAGGAATATACATCACTCTTTGGGGTAGAGTTAAAAACCAAACTCATTGCTTTAGAGTCGGTGCTGACGCATAGCACTGCCCCTTGTGAGTTTCTGAGACTCTTAACTCTTTCCAGGAGTAGAGCCTGCAGAAAGCCTGTCTTTTCTCCTTCAGAGCTGCTGGTGGTTTTAAACTGCTGACCTTGCAGTTAGTAGCTGTGTTCGGCAGGGTTCTCTAGAGGAACAAAACCAGGGCACTTATGATACACACACACACACACACACACATATTTATACAGCACGAAGAATATAACAGCTAATTAGTGCACACAGCAGTTCAACTCACTTCTGTGAAACGGTTAATATACTGGAAGTCCTTCAATTCAGGAGGGCTACTAGGCCCAAGGTCAAGGAAGTAGACAGTTGAGTTTTCCCTTGGGCAATGAAGGCAGAGTCCGCCCACAGGCAGCAAACAGCAAGGTAGATCACCAACAGTCAACAACAACAAGCAGGCCCGGATGAAACTATAGAACTCGAACAATGCAAGACGACCGGATCCATCAGCCTTAAGCTCAAGCGATATACACAACAGCTGCTTGACGAAGCAGTTCTCAAAGGAACCTCAAGCTCTGATGACACGATCTATGGGTTGACTGCCACACAGGTAGTGTAGATCACAAGTTGAAGCAGAGAACTAGCTAAAGCAGCTGCACACTGGTCCAGTCAACAGAGAGCAAGAGAGAGAGGGGGGCTGGCCTTTCTGAGCCATTTATCTCTTCGCCCTCCAGTCAAACTGCAACCTTATTAATCCCACATGTTCCCATTGGCCAGGTTGGCACAATAAACCTACATATCACAGTCCACCCCTGCCAACTTGGCACCTGTGCACAATTCTTTAGCTGTATATGATTTCCAGACATTAATGAAATCATGCACCTAACATCATATATCTATCATACATATAAACAAAAACACACCAAATTTAAGTGTATCTGGTACATCATACATGAACAAAGGAAAGATATTCAATAAGCCCATATAAAGATGAAATGACCATCACAAAACTTGCTTTTAAAATTGATCACATGGCCGTAACTGATAGGTAGAACTGCCTTCTTCTACTACCCATTCTGTGTTAACCTTTGACTTTGGCAGGCACTTCTGCTGGCTGTGTTTCTTTGCCTGGTGAGGTGACCTAGACCTTCATTCCTGAGGGATCTGGATCATTAGACATCCTGTCAGGATTGGGTTGCTATAGTTGACCAT